TAAATTATGAGATGCATGTATTTATTTACAAATGAACAAATAAGATTTTAACCTTATAAAGATTTAAGTATTGTTATTATTTTTATTATTATTGTATTTTATTAAATATGAAAAGAAAAAGTTTTAAAGAAAGAAAATTTATTTAAATTAATGTTTCTATCATTTACACATTTTTATTAGTATAACAAATATTAAGAAAATTAAAACTATGTATATATGAAAATCAAAACAGTTAATCAAAATAAGATTTTAATGCATTGTTTGGTTTTACTTTTATTATTAACAAAACAAATTATTTTAGAATAAAAATAATTAAAAAGAAAAGTATTGGTTTAAAATAAATAAATAAATTAAAATGATATTAGTAAAGAAAAGAAAAAGTATTAGTTTGAAAATTGAAAAGAGAAAGATGATGGGCCTGGGATTATGGCCCAAAAATATAAAAAAGAAGGAGAACAAGAATCGGGGGGGTGTGCGTTTAGTAAGAACATGGGCCTATGGTTTTGCTTGGGGCGAAGGCCCATCTGAAGTGTTTGACAATTTTTAGGGTTTGCTCAGTTTAGGGTTTATAATTTTTTTGGTCTCAGCGGCGCCGCTCTTGCTTCTCTCATTCTCTTCGTCTTTCTCTGCTTCATCTTTCTCTGGTCACCAAGCGTTTATTCTCACCTCCATGCCTTAGCCACCGGAGCGTCGCCTCCTTCTTCTCTCGTTCTCTTCACAGTGGTCCACGTTGTTTTGTTTGAACGGCACACATGGTTGTCCTTAATGTTTTAGGGTTTCTCAGTTATGTTTTCGTTTTGCTTGATTATTACATGCATGTTCTAATCCATGGTTTTTGATGTTTGATGTGTAGTAAAAAAGGGTTGAGAACAAGCTTACCTTGAACGTTTTGCTTCTGAAAAGTGAGATAGGGAGGGTGAGCTGGCCGGTGGCGCTCCCAGGAGGCTAGGCGGAGGGACGGAGATGATGCTTTTATGGTATTTCTGTATTTGATTTGTTTGATGATGAATTTGGTTTCTGAAAACCCCTTTTTTATTCTTTGAATGCTGTTGATGATGAAGAATCTGAAAACTGGTTCGAAACTTTTGCTTGCTTTTGTTTCTTGTTGATGATGAAGGATATACTTCTGAAATTCTTCCTTTCTCTTTGATATGTTAATGATGATTTGAAATCACTTCTAAAACTATTTGTTCTTTCACTTCCGAAATGCTCTTCTTCTTCTTTGTTAATGATGAACTTGGTTTCTGAAATAATCTGCTCTTTGTTTGTACTGAGTTTGATGATGAATTTGGTTTCTAAAACCCTATTGTTGCTTTCACTTCTGGAATGCTCTTCTTTTCTCTTTGATAGGTTAATGATGATTTGAAATCACTTCTGAAACTATTTTTGTTGGCTTAATTTTAGTTTGTATGCTATGTTTGAAAGGTTCTTAGCTACTTGTTTGGCCTGGCAGTTTGTTATGTTCAGTTTGGAATTTTGTTTGTGTAGTTGGGCAGGCTGTGACTAAGTTACAATTTGTGGCTTGAACTGTAGGTTTTTGTTTGGCCTGTGTGTTTAGCAGGTTTGCTTGAGTATGGTAAACAGGTTTGTTGTTGTTTTTGGACAAGTTGCAGTTATGCAGTTTGATTTGTTGGCAAACAAGTTTGTGGTTTTGCAGACAGGTTTGCAACTGTAGTTTGCATTTTATTTAGGCACATTTGGCCTTTGTGCAGGCTTGACAACAGGTTTTTGGTGTTTGGATTTTGCTGTTTTGAGATGCAGTTTTGGTAAGTTGCAGTTTTCTCTGGCTAGCAGGTTTGCTTTGGCTAGCAGGTTTGTTTGAGTTTTTTGAAACTTGGCCTTTGTTCTGTTTGATGTTTATTGAGCAGGGAGGTTTGGGTTTTGAGATGCAGGCTGTTCAGTTTGGCCTCTCTACAGGTTTTGAGCTAGCTTGCAGTTATGTAGTTTTTGCAAGCTTGTTTAGCTTGAGTAAGCTGTAGTTTGCAAGCTTATGCAGATTTTTTGCTCTCCCCCTTATGCTGGACTGTTATACAGTCTTTATATCTTTTTGTTTTCTTTTTTTCTGTCTTGAAAAATAGCCTGCACACCTGCCAAAACTGCAAACTCTTTTCACTAAAAGGTCCTCTCTTTCTCCCTCTCTCAAAAGCACTTTTGCTTATTATATTTAATTCTGAAAAGTTTTGCCTAGGCTGGAAAATGATGATGGCTCTAGCAAGCCTCTTGCTTGTAACTTGGTTTATCTCTCTGCATTGTGCACTTTGTTTCCATATTTTCTGCATAGTGTACTTTGTTGCTTTTGCTAGTTGCTATGCTTTTTGTAACTCAGTTTGCAGTACAATTTGCTTTGTATGCAGCCTTATACCTTTGTATTTGAACCATGTTTTTACATCTAGTTTGACATGCTTGCATTTTATATATTTTATTTTTCTCTCTGTGAACCGGGAAGAGCGATCTTCTTGTGATTTGCAGAGGGGAAAATAACATGTGATGAACATAGCATTCTGATTCCAGCCGGCAGAATTTAATGATGATTTCTTTTCTTCTGCTTTGAAAATTCTTTTCAGTTAGTTGCGCTGATTTCTTTTCTTCTGTCTTTTGCAGGTGAGTACCAGTTGGATGATAGAGGACGCAGTAAAAAGTCCAAGATCTCAAGAGATTAGGCTTAGATTTATTTTTTATTTATTGTAAACAAAAATTATTCTAAATACTATAAGTTGTAATCTTATAATATTCAAATAAATTTTGTAACAACATTTGAAGTAAATAAAAGTCTTTATCCAAAAATAATTTTCTACTGTTAAATATCTTCCAATCTTTCCTTGCATTGTTTATTTTATTATCTAGGATTCTTTAAATCAAAATAATTGGAACTGTATCCCAATAATTTTAATCCAGATGAAATAAATAATCAACAAACTTTGCAGTCTCGCAACCTTACATCAATCACAATATGCGTAGTATTCCAAATAACATATGTGTTGTACAGTTAAACAAACAAGCATTCCATAAACCTTTCACTCCACTGATCAAACAAATGCCTCAATGTTCCAAACAAAAGTCTCAGCTCTTATCCCAGATAATTAGTTTTTGAGAAACAACCAGTAATCTTGAACAAGCGTAAAAATAATGTAATAGTTAACTGAATTTCTGAGGATTCAGTTTATTCTGAGAGATGCGAGCGAAAACTCTAATCCTGGATTACTGCCAAAGAAAAACTTGTCTGATCGATTCCTGAGTCAATCTTAACAAATAAGAGAAAACCCTAATTCTGGATTGACTGATAAAGAAAAGTCTGTTTGACCGGTTCTCGAGCCAATCTTAAAAATCAGAGAAAACCCTGGGGTTGTGATTTCTTATGAAAAAGGGAGGACAAATTTTGGGGTATAACAGATTGGTATGTTTATATGCAAGGGTTATTAGTTTGTTTTAGCCTAAATTTGTCAAAGGGGGAAATTGTTAATTATCTAGTTTTATGATTGACAATAATTTTGATAAAACTAACTTGACATCAACATGTTAAACAAGACGGTCTATCTCAGAGTCTCGACATCTTGTGTGCTACAGGTTTACATATTGGATTTAGTTGGTTTAATTAATGATTACATAATATTATGAGAATATTATGTCATCATATGTGGCATCCAAGTTTAAGGAATCATATATTCTGTTTATGCTTAAGGTTATCTTGTTTCTATAAATGTTGCGACATTTTAAGAAACATTTGATTGAAAACCTATTTTATGGAGAAGTTTCTGGAGACTTTAAGTAGCCGTCTTGTTGTGTTTTTGAAGTCCAAAATTCACTCTAGAAGTTGTTTTATAAATAAAAGGTCACAAACCTAATGTAGAGTATAACATGAATTATTGTTTTAGGGTTTGTTTGTTATTTGTGAGCCTCTGTAATATCATTTTGATATAAGAGTAAGACTATCTCAATTGAGTTGTAAGTTCGGTCAATCATTATCCGTCTCAATATTGAGTGTGATTTAAGTGAATATTATTTATGAGTGTCAATAATAACTTGTTTGTCATGGTTCACTTCAAATTTTTGTTAGTTATTAAATTTTATTAATTTAATTTTGATTTGAATTGATTTAAGTTATTTAATTGTAATTCTTTAATTTATTTTATTAAATTGTAAAGACATGATGAAATGTAATTTCATAGTTTTATGCTAACCAAAGGATAGAAATATGAAAAATATTGTTTACAAAAGTTATGCATCCTAGGAGGAAAGTAAAGTAACGGCTAAAGATCTCCACGTCATCGATCCGCGAATAACATGACTAACCAATGGTAACACAATAAGATTGTCCTATATAAAACATCACCGCAACACACTTTACTCATTCACACTTCCAGTTCTTCAATCTACATCTTACTTTTTCTTCATTTTCCAAAGAGAAATGGCACCAAAAGGAGAGAAGAAACCCGCCGAGAAGAAGCCCGTGGAAGAGAAGAAATCCACTATAGCCGAGAAAACTCCCGCCGAGAAGAAACCCAAGGCAGGAAAGAAGCTACCATCCAAAGATGGTGCCGCCGCTGGAGACAAGAAGAAGAAGAGAAACAAGAAGAGCGTGGAAACCTACAAGATCTACATCTTCAAGGTTCTGAAGCAAGTTCACCCTGACATTGGTATCTCAAGCAAGGCCATGGGCATAATGAACAGTTTCATCAACGATATCTTCGAGAAGCTCGCAGCTGAATCTTCGAGGCTTGCGAGGTATAACAAGAAGCCGACGATAACTTCGAGGGAAATTCAGACTGCGGTGAGGCTTGTTCTTCCTGGAGAGTTGGCTAAGCATGCTGTGTCTGAGGGTACTAAAGCTGTGACCAAGTTCACAAGCGGTTAGGGTTTTAACAGTGTTCTTGTTTACTGGATCTGCATTTTAAGAGTAGCTTTTTCTGTATTTTAACTTGTAAGTGAAGTAATGAGATCTGGTGGTTACTTTGTGTATTGAAAATTTTGGAATTGATTAAATTAAAGTTCCTTGTTCTTATTTATATTTCTTCGGTTTGGTTCATACTATTAAATCCTCTTAGGTCAATTTTTGTTGCTACTTTCGTTCTAAGTTGTTTGGCTGAATAGTCATCACATTTCTGTAAACATGTATTGTTGAACTTCGCAGAGAGAATCGAGAGTCTTTCTTTTGACGGTATCCGAATATGTAATGGTTGCATATTGCCTCTAGTCGTGGTGAGAAGTTTTATAATTATTGAAACAAGCAATGTCATATTTTATTATCCATCTTCACGTCCTTCACAACCAATGGTGCTGCTCTTCAATTTTAATTTTTTGGGATATACTTGTACCACTTCCTCTCACTTCTCATTTATTGTTTGTTTGGCAATCAACGAATATAACTTATAACGTCAGGTTTTTCTCATTTCAATTGTCGTGGACAAAATATCTGTAAGTATACAGCATCAAATCAATAGCTAACGATAAAAAAATATATAAATATTTCCATAAATAATTTCAAATGAATAATATAATTTATAAACTAAAAAGAGAATAATGTTGATTATCATGCAACAAGGTTATAAATTAGTGAAAATTAATAATAACTGTGAATTAGAATTTGCAAAGCTGTTGAACAATTATCCATTTCATGATTTCATCTAGTGTATGTGATGACACGTGGTGTTCTATCTTGTGACGCCATGTCTAAATCTTGGCCAACGGCCCATGCGATTCGAAAATGGAAAAATTATTCAAATAGTTATTAAATCCTTAATTCTTAAAGGCAATTTAAGATTAAGCTGTTATTAGTTGAAATTAATTTTATCAAAGTCATTTAGAGATTATTGCTGTTAGTAAAGAAAATGGGCGTGAAATTTCATTTTAAGTTCACTTAAGTTTAAGTTGTTGTTACTAGAGAAAGGGATGAGATTGCAATATAAGGCCCATTGTGTTGACCCATCTAATGTTTTTATTTATTTAAAAAGAAGTATTATGATTAAAAAAATTATTTATTATTATTATTTTAATAAAGAAAATAAATAATATATTATTTTTTTAAAAAAGGAAACGTAATTTTTTTTTTACTCTTTATGGACTTATTTTTAAAGCATGATTTCTTGTTAAAGATTGTTGTTTTGAGAAAAAAGGTCGATTGGGCCTAGTGGTTAAAACTATTTTTTTGCTGTATTAGGAAATAATGTTGTTGGGCTAAGTGAAGTAAGATTAACGCTGGGTCCAATCTTTTACAAAATAAAAATATATTATTTTCAATCACTGAGCCGCTGTCGTAGGCGGATCAAAAACGAGTTGTTTTAAATATGTAGTATAACGACAATGGCTTGAGTCGTATCGCAAAGATTCTTGATTTTATTATTAACTAATAGAAATCGAATGGGGGTTGGTTTTAAGATCGATTTATAACACGAAATAAGTGATTAACAAAATAAGCTAATCTGTTAATTCTGTTCCTACCTATCATTGATTATTATAACATTGTTGCCCTAAGCAGGTACTATTCCTGTTCGATCACAATAACATTCAACAAGCGAGAATGATATTATAAGAATTATGTTTCCTGTTTACCGAATTAAGCAAACGGTTAAAAATAAGTGAATTAACGAATTAAGCAAACGATAACACGCAATGAAAATTAGAGAACATAAATCAATCGAACCAAACAAAACTATTTTATGACAATCAGATTAAGTAAACGATGAACATATAATAGAGTTGAAAGAAATAGGAATTAAATCGCAAAATTATATTAACCTCAAGTATCGGAACATGAATGTAGCAGATCAACTCAGAGGAAATTTAGCTCTCCATAAGATTCGTACAAAGCAAAAGTTCTATCGTGAAAATAAAGAGGTTTTTTATTGTAGCACGACTGAAAACCTTATAAACAAAATAGGGTTTTTCACTATTAAGTCAAATTGGGTCAGAAACATAAACCAGACCCATAAAACGATCCGAAACAAATTATTTTCTAATGTCTGAAACTTCAACGAATTACTGGAACTTATGCAGGCCTAATCAGCTTTTGACTCCAACATGAAAGTTGTAGATCTTTCTCTTAGCTTTCCGACGAATATTAGAACGCGTCAATCCGATTTCCGAAGCTCCAGTTATGATTTTTTTATTGAAAGCTGCTAATGTTGAAAATAAAATACGAAAATCAATTAAAGGTAAAAAGTTCTGGAGCTACTTCATATGGACTTGATGGGACCTATGCAAGTTGAAAGTCTAGGAGGAAATATGTATGCTTATGTTGTTGATGATGACTTCTCAAGGTTCACCTAAGTGAATTTCATCAAAGAGAAGTCTGAAGTGTTTGAAGTCTTCAAAAAATTATGTCAAAGGATTCAAAGAGAGAAGGATTGCGGTATTATCAAAATTAGGAGTGACCATGGGAAATAATTTGAAAATAGCAAGTTTGATGAATTTTGTACCTCTGAAGGGATTATTGATGAGTTATGTTCACCCATCACTCTTCAACAGAATGGTGTGGTGGAATGAAAGAATATGACTATTAAAGAATGTTCCAGGGTCATGCTTCATGTTAAAAAACTGTCATATCATTTTTGGGATGAAGCCATGAACATTGCCTGCTATATCCATAATAGAGTGACTATCAGATCTGGTACATTTGCTACACTTTATGAACTGTGGAAAGGAAGAATGCCAACTGTGAAATATTTTCATGTCTTTGGAAGTAAGTGTTACATTTTGGTAGATCGTGAGCAAAGGAGGAAGATGAATCATAATAGTGATGAGGGAATATTTTTGGGATACTTTATAAATAGTAGAGCTTATAAAGTATTCAACTCCAAAACTAAGGTGATGATGGAGTCTATAAATGTGGTTGTTGATAACTCAACAAAAGAAGTTGATGTCACAAAAGATGATGAAACATCTATTCCCATGAATTATGATATTCCTGAAGATGTTGCATACTCAATCACTAACACTGAACCTGAAGAATTTGAGACAACTGACAAAGGACCCTCAATCAAGATTCATAAAGATCATCCTAAGGAGCTCATAACAGGAAATCTGAATGAAGGGATAATCACCATATCAAGGGAATTGTGTCAGGTGTTTGCTTTGATTTAAAGTTTGAACTAGAGAATATCAAGGAGGCCCTGACTGATGAGTTCTAGGTTAATGCTATGCAATACGAACTTGGTCAATTCAAGAAAAATGAGGTATGTGACTTGGTGCCAAGACCTGAAGGAACTAATGTTATTGGTACTAAATGGGTGTATAAGAATAAGTCAGATGAACAAGGAGTTGTTACAAGAAAAAAAGCCAGACTTGTTGCTCAAATATATACTCAAGTTCAGGGTGTGGACTTTGATGAAACATTTGCTCATGTGGCTCGCTTAGAATCTACCAGGTTATTACTGTGAGAAGCATGTCTTTTAAAGTTCAAGTTGTTCCAAATGGATGTTAAGAGTGCTTTATTACATGGAAATCTTAATGAAGAAGTATATATCGAACAACCAAAAGGGTTTGTTGATCCCAATTTCCCAAATCATGTGTTTAAACTGAAGAAGGCATTGTATGGGCTAAAACAAGCTCCAAGAGCTTGGTATGAGAGGTTGACTAAGTTTCTCATTAACCCTGGATATAGAACGAGTGGAATTGATAAGACTCTTTTTGTCAAAGAGAAGAGTCGAAAACTAATGATAGCTCAAATCTATGTGGATGACATTGTCTTCGGAGAGATGTCGGAAGAGATGGTACAACATTTTGTCAAGCAGATGTAATATGAGTTTGAAATGAGTTTGGTAGGTGAGTTAACATACTTTCTTGGACTGCAAGTCAAGCAGATGGAAGACTCCATATTTCTTTGTCAAAGCAAATATGCAAAGAATATCGTGAAGAAATTTGGATTGGAGAATGCTAGTCACAAAACTCTTGTTCCTACACACTTGAAGTTATCCAAACATGAAAAGAGAGTTAGTGTTGATCAGAGTTTATATAGAAGCATGATTGGTAGCCTTCTATATCTTACAACAAGCAGGCCTGATATAACTTTTGTTGTTGGAGTGTGTGCTAGATATCAAGCAGAACCCAAAGTAAGTCATATCAATAAAGTAAAAAAGGATTTTTGAAGTATGTGAATGGTACATGTGACTATGGAATAACTACTACAGAAAACCCATTTAACAACAGTTGGAAAACACATATAATCACGCAGGTCCAGGTGTTGTTGTGTAGAGTGTGGTTGTATATACGACACTTACAATCACAGTCCAATAGTTGTTGTGGTAAAATGTCAATCATAATGGTTGACGTAATCAACCGTTGTAATAATTATAGTGGCATGAGTTCGATACCCAGCTACAACCAAAATTAAAGCGCATAAAAATAGCATTTTACCACGGTTGAACATTCCAATCGTTATGGTATGTGTAAGAGTTTATTATAAAATATGGGATTCGTTGTTTTTCCCTGCCCCTCACTAACCATATACAATCATTCAAATAAATTTTTGAGATAATAATCAGAAAAATTAAGTTATTCTTAAAAACAACTTAAAAGATCCAACATTTTTGGAATTGCAAGCATCATGTAAATCATGATTTCCTCTTTTAGCCTATAGGATTTGATTTAATCCCAAATTCTTCAAAATAATGTTGATAAATGAATGTCAGTCTGAGTCTTTCAAATAAAATTTGATTTCCTCTTCTTTTCTACTTTATTTTTCAAACACCAAGATTTGTGTGAAAGATCCAGACAAACACTCATTTATAAACATTGTTTTGAAGAATTTATGACATTGAATGAAATTCTATACGCTAAAGAGGGAATTATGATTTACAAGATGCATGCAATTCGAAAAAACATTGGATCGTCTAAGTTGATTTTCAAGAATAATTTAATTTTTTAAATTATTATCTTAAAGTTATTTTTAAATGAACGCAAGTTCAATGAGGGGTTAGTGAAACAAGCAATCTCATATTATATAACATACTCACTAACAACATTTATCAACAAAAACATCAACTTACATAGATTGGGAGAACTGAACAACTGACCATTTCTTGAAGCTTTAAGTGATAAGTAAAGAACCATAAAAACTTGCTAGCTGCACATGAAAAATCATTTATCAACTCATACTATACACTTGCTACCACTATCATCGCCACCATATGAGGTCCATCTAGTTTGTGAAGGTATGATGAAAAAATATAAGGTGGATGAAGTTAACATAGTAGCTTCATACTTATTATATTTATTTTTATACCTTCTAAAACTAGATGAA